TCTCTAAAATAATCAATGGAAATGTCTTTTTGCCCAACCGGCGTGGCTCAGGGGTTGAGCGTCGACCGAGGAACCAGGAGGTCAGGGTGCGATTCCCGGTCAAGGGTTGTGGGCTCGACCCCCCGTGGGGGCGTGCAGGAGGCGGCCGGCCCGTGGCTCTCTCTCCTCATGGATGTTTCTCTCTCTCTCTCTCCCTTTCTCTCCAAAATCGACAAAAACATATTTTTAAAAGATCTTTTCAATCGAGATGTATCTATCTATCATGTATCTATCATCTATTATCTATCATCTATCTATCTATCTATCTATCTATCTATCTATCTATCTATCATCTATCATCCGTCATCCATCTATCCATCTACCTATCCGCTATCTATCTATCTATTTATCTATCTATATCTATCTATCACCTATCTATCTATCATCTATCATCCGTCATCCATCTATCCATCTACCTATCGCTATCTATCTATCTATCTATCTATCTATCTATCTATCTATCTATCTATCTATCTATCATCTATCATCTATCTATCCGTCATCCATCTATCCATTTACCCATCTGTTATCTATCTATCTATCTATCTATCTATCTATCTATCTATCTATCTTCTATCTATCTATCTATCTATCTATCTATCTATCATCTATCTATCTATCTATCTATCTATCTTCTATCTATCTATCTATCTATCTATCTATCATCTATCTATCTATCTATCATCTATCTATCCGTCATCCATCTATCCATCTACCTATCCGCTATCTATCTATCTATCTATCTATCTATCTATCTATCTATCTATCTATTTATCTATCTATATCTATCTATCTATCATCTATCATCCGTCATCCATCTATCCATCTACCTATCCGCTATCTATCTATCTATCTATCTATCTATCTATCTATCTATCCATCCATCTATCTATCCATCTACCTGTCATCTATCTATTTATCATCTATCTTTCTATCTATCTATCATCTATCTATCTATCTATCTATCTATCTATCTATCTATCTATCTATCATCTACCATCTGTCATCTATCTATCCATCTACCTATCCGCTATCTATCTATCTATCTATCTATCTATCTATCTATCCATCTACCTATCCGCTATCTATCTATCCATCCATCTATCTATCCATCTACCTGTCATCTATCTATTTATCATCCATCCTTCTAGCTATCTATCAATGTACCTTCTTCTCTCTCTCAAAATCAGTTAAACACCCAACCGCTGAGCCACACCAGCCCGACGCCTTTAATTATTTATTGTTTCTTCATCCTCACGTGAGGGTCCTTTTTTCTCATTGAAATTTTTTTTCGTGACGAGAGAGTGGAAGCTAGAGAGCTACCCCAGGATCTCACTCGTTTCTGGGGTTTAATGACCAGCGTAGACTGATGAGCAAAAAATGGAGCCAGAGAAAAAAAATACTGTAGAATATAATAGAAGTCACCCTGCGATTTGCAGATTTTTAATGCCGCCTACAAATTTTTGTGATATTGTGCCGTGTTCGTACAGTCTGGGTCATGTGATTACATTTAAAATCCTTTTCCCTTGAAACGTTTATGTTTATGGCAAGCACCATTATTATATTTAAAATAGTGTTTTTTTTTTTTCTGGAATAATTGGTGTTTATTGCACGGAACATTATTATATGTAAAATCGTTTTTCTTAAAAAAAAAAAATAGAGGCAGAGAAAAAAGCATTTTAGAACAAAATAGGAGTCATCCTGTGATTTGCAGATTTTTAATGTCTCCGAAAGCTTTTGCGATATTGTGCTAGGTCGGTACAGTTTTGGTAAGATTATTATATTTAAAACCCTTTTTCCTTGAGATATTAATGTTTATTGCATGGAATATTATTATATTTAAAATCTTTTTTTCTTGAAATATTAATGCTTAGTGAATATGACATTACTATATTTAAAATAGCTTTTCTTGAAATATCAATGTTTATTGCATATAATAATATTATATTCAAAATCATTTTTCTTGAAATATCAATGCTCATTGCATATGACATTACTATATTTAAAATAGCTTCTCTTGAGATATTAATGTTTATTGCATATAATATTATTATATTTAAAATCGTTTTTCTTGAGATATTAATGTTTATTGCATATGACATTACTATATTTAAAATAATTTTTCTTGAAATATTAGTTTATTGCACGTATATAATATTTAAAATAGTTTTTCTTGAAATATTCATTTTTATTGCATATAATATTATTGTATTTAAAATAGCTTTTCTTGAGATATTAATGTTTATTGCATGTATATTATATTTAAAATAGTTTTTCTTAAAATATTAATGTTTGTTGCATATAATATTATTATATTTAAAGTCGTTTTTCTTGAAATATCAATGCTTATTGCATATGACATTACTATATTTAAAATAGCTTTTCTTGAAATATTAGTTAATTGCATGTATATAATGTTTAAAATAGTTTTTCTTAAATATTCATTTCCATTGCATGTAATATTATTGTATTTAAAATAGCTTTTCTTGAGATATTGATGCTCATTGCACATAATATTATATTTAAAATAATTTTTCTTGAGATATTAATGTTTATTGCATGCATATTATATTCAAATAGTTTTTCTTAAAATATTAATGTTTATTGCATATAATATTATATTTAAAATCGGTTTTCTTAAAACAATAGAGCCAGAGGAAAAAAATTAGAATATAATAGAAGTAATCCTGTTATTTGCAGATTTTTAATATCTCCTACAACTTTTGTGATATTATGCTATGTTAGTACAGTTTTGGTAATACTATTATATTTAAAATCTTTTTCTTGAAATATTAATGTTTATTGCATGTATATAATATTTAAAATAGTTTTTCTTAAATATTCATTTCCATTGCATGTAATATTATTGTATTTAAAATAGCTTCTCTTGAGATATTAATGCTCATTGCATATGACATTACTATATTTAAAATAGCTTTTCTTGAGATATCAATGTTTATTGCATATAATAATATTATATTCAAAATCATTTTCTTGAAATATCAATGCTCATTGCATATGACATTACTATATTTAAAATAGCTCCTCTTGAGATATTAACGTTTATTGCATGTAACATTACTATATTTAAAATAATGTTTCTTGAAATATTAGTTTATTGCACGTATATAATATTTAAAATAGTTTTTCTTGAAATATTCATTTTTATTGCATATAATATTATTGTATTTAAAATAGCTTTTCTTGAGATATTAATGTTTATTGCATGGAATATTATTATATTTAAAATCTTTTTTTCTTGAAATATTAATGCTCATTGCATATGACGTTACTATATTTAAAATAGCTCCTCTTGAGATATTAATGCTCATTGCGTGTAACATTATTAGAAAAAGGAAATGCGAAAAACATAGCAAGAGAGGAAGGGAGGCTGAGAGAGAGAGAGACAGAGACACATCGATTGGCTCCTCCCACACGCATCCCGACCCGGAATCGAACTCACAGCCCAGGCCTGTGCCCTTGGCCGGGATTCGAACCCGGGACCCTTCAGTCCGCAGGCCGACGCTCTACCCACTGAGCAACCCCTCCCACTGGGACTCACTGGGCGGATCCGGTCTCGAACCCCTGGGTCCAGGTAGCACTCACCTCTGTACACGCCGTTCCACCCGCCCAGCTGGCCCAGCGCCTCGTCTCCGGCCTCCAGATGCCCCCCGTGGTCGGAGGTGAAGTAGGTGAGGGTGGTGTTTGTCAGACCGTTTTCTTCCAGGGCCTCCAGGATTTTGCCTTCAGGACACAAGGAACCATGATCAGGACACAGCCAATCAGACGGCATCGATTGGGGGTGGGGGGCGGCCAGTGTGGCTCAGTGGTTGAGCCTCCACCTAGGAACCAGGAGGTCACGGGTTCGATTCCCGGTCAAGGGCACAGGCCCGGGTTGCGGGCTCCATCCCCAGTGGGGGGCGTGCAGGAGGCGGCCGGTCCGTGATTCCCTCTCATCACGGCTGTTTCTCTCTCTCTCTCTCTCTCTCTTCCTTCCTCTCTGAAATCCAAAAAAATATATTATTTTTTAAAAAAGAAAGAGCCCTAAAATAAAATAAAATAAAATAAAATAAAATAAAATAAAGAAAAAGAAAGAACCCTGGCTGGTGTGGCTCAGTGGATAGAGCGTCGGCCTGCGGACTGAAGGGTCCCAGGTTTGATTCCGGCCAAGGGCATGGACCTTGGTGGCGGGCACATCCCCAGTGGGGGGCGTGCAGGAGGCAGCTGATCGATGTTTCTCTCTCATCGTGTTTCTAACTCTCTCTCCCTCTCCCTTCCTCTCTGTAAAAATATCAATAAAATACATTAAAAATAAACAGATAAAAGCAAAAAACAAACCAACGCTTCTAATAAAAAACAAAAAACACCCCAACAAAGAAACGCGGTGGCTTCTCACCTCGAAAGGCTTTTGATCTTAAGCGATCCGTGTCCCGTATGGCAATCATTTCCACGTCCGCGATTTTTGAAAAAAAATAATTTTCATTGATTTCAGAGAGGAAGAGAGAGAGAAACATCCATGAGGAGAGAGAATCACGGACCGGCCGCCTCCTGCACGCCCCCGACTGGGGATGGAGCCCGCAACCCAGGCCTGTGCCCTTGACCGGGTCAACGCTCAAACCACTGAGCCACACCGGCCGGGCTGTCACCATTCCTCAATGCTGAGGCCAACAGTGGGGAAGGCCGGGTCGAGCCTCGACTCACCCACAAGCCAGTCCATCTCCTCGACGTTGTCGCCGTATAAGCCATGCCTGCTCTTCCCAAGAAACTCTCTCCTGGTGACCAGGGGGATGTGTACGTGGAGCAAAGACACAAAGAGTAGGAACGGCTGGTGTTTATTTCTGGAGAAAAAAAGGAAAAAAAGAGAGAGAGAGAGAAAAAAAATACCCTTCGAATCCAACGGCCTCTGTTTCGATGCTCATGGACCCATGACTTCCAAGGAGAGACTTGAGGGGTGGGAACCACCCCTGGCTGGTGTGGCTCAGTGGATAGAGCGTCGGCCTCTGGACAGAAGGGCCCCGGGTTCGATTCCCGGTCGAGGGCACAGGCCTGAAATCAATAAAATTGAAAAAAAAAACCCACCCCAAAACAGCAACAAAACAATGGATCACTTCTCGGCCTTTTGGCTAAGATCAAGGGTAGCATCTGTTCTTATCGGTTTAATATCTAACACGTCCTCTGTCCGAGGATAACATGGAAAAATATCCTCTGGTGAGGATTAACCAGAATAACAAAATAAAAATCTATACGAATAAAAGGGTAATATGCTAATTAGGCCAGACAGACCGGACGTCTTCCGGCCGCCCTTATGGACAAAGCCACAGTGGCAGGGGCCAAGGCAGAGGAAGTTGGGGGTGATCAGGCCGGCAGGGGAGGGCGGTTATGGGCGATCAGACCGGCAGGGAGGGCGGTTAGGGGCGATCAGGCCGGCAGGGGAGGGCGGTTAGGGGCGATCAGGCCGGCAGGGGAGGGCGGTTAGGGGCGATCAGGCCGGCAGGGAGGGCGGTTGGGGGCGATCAGGCCGGCAGGGAGGGCGGTTAGGGGCGATCAGGCCGGCAGGGAGGGCGGTTGGGGGCGATCAGGCCGGCAGGGGAGAGCGGTTAGGGGCGATCAGGCCGGCAGGGGAGGGCGGTTAGGGGCGATCAGGCCGGCAGGGAGGGCGGTTGGGGGCGATCAGGCCGGCAGGGGAGAGCGGTTAGGGACGATCAGGCCGGCAGGGGAGGGCGGTTGGGGGCGATCAGGCCGGCAGGGGAGGGCGGTTAGGGGCGATCAGGCCGGCAGGCGGGGGCTGTTAGGAGCGATCAGGCCGGCAGGGGAGGGCGGTTAGGGGCGATCAGGCCGGCAGGGGAGGGCGGTTAGGGGCGATCAGGCCGGCAGGGGAGGGCGGTTAGGGGCGATCAGGCCGGCAGGGGAGGGCGGTTAGGGGCGATCAGGCCGGCAGGCAGGGGAGCGCTTAGGAGCTATCAGTCCCGGATTGCGAGAGGGATGTCCACCTGTCGGTTTAGGCCTGATCCCTAAACCAGCAGTCAGACATCCCCCAGTGGGTCCCGGATTGGAGAGGGTGCAGGCTGGGCTGAGGGACACCCCCTCCTGCCCCAGTGTCTGAATTTCGTGCACCGGGCCTCTAGGAATAATAATTAAAAAGAACCAAGCTGGAGGTGGGGATACCTCTCAATGTAGGACACGGCTTCCCTCAGCAGGCGGCCGGCGGTTCTCTCCAGAACCATGGGCTGCTCGACGACATCGCCGTTTCGCATCAGCAGGCAGTTCCAGCGCCTCACGAACCCGAAGCTGGCGTACCAGGACCCGAAGAACAGGACCAGGAGGCCGGCCGCCCCCAGGACCGCCCCCCGGGGCACGGACAGGAGCCCCCAGGCCTGGCCGGCCGCCAGCGTCAGGACGCCCAGGGCCAGCCACTGGGTGTGACGCCACAGCCGGGCCCTCAGGGCGGCGTCCACCTCGGGGGGCCGGCCTGGGTGGCAGTCATTGACCAGCGTGAAGGGCATCCCGTAGAAGTATTCGAACCCGTGGCGCAGAGGGTGGTGGCAGTGGTCGCGGCGGGACTGGCAGCTGACGCCCTGGTGCCATTTTCCTGGAGAGGGAAGCCGACCAGGGAGACCGATCCGCTCAACGCCGGGCAGGAAGGATGTAGGCGCCCCTGTGTTCATCCCAGCGCTATGCTATTTACTTATGTATTTGGTATTTTTATTTAATTATTACTTTATATATGTTGTATTATTATTCTTGAGGCCCGGGGCATGAATTCGTGCTTGGGTGGGGGTTGTGAGAGGTGGCGGCTGCAGGAGCTCACTGACCACCAGGGGGCAGCTCCTGCGTTGAGCGTCTGCCTCCTGGTGGTCAGTGAGCGTCATAGCGACCGGTTGTTTGGTTGTTTCGGTCGTTTAGGCTTTTATATATATAGATTTTTTATATTCATTATGTTTTCCATTATAATCACACATCTATAAGTATATATATGTGTGTACATATATATATGTGCATATATATTTTACATTTATATATTTGTATATATATAAGTGCATATATATGTATACATATATATCAGTATATGTATATGTATATGTATACAGATATATGTGTGCGTGTGTGTGAGTATATATACATATGTGATATATATAGGTATATATATCACCCCTATCTATAGATAGATAGATAAATGATAGATAGATAGATAGATAGATGATTGATAGATAGATAGATGATAGATAGATAGATAGATAGATGATAGATAGATAGATAGATGATAGATAGATAAATAGATAGATGATAGATAGATAGATAGATAGATAGATAGATAGATGATAGATAGATAGATAGATAGATAGATAGATAGATAGATAGATAGATAGATGATAGATAGGTGGATAGATGGATGATAGATAGATAGATAGATAGATAGATAGATAGATAGATAGATAGATGATAGATAGATAGATAGATAGATAGATAGATAGATAGATGATAGATAGATGATAGATAGATAGGTAGATAGATGATAGATAGATAGATAGATAGATAGATGATAGATAGATAGATGATAGATAGATAGATAGATAGATAGATAGATAGATAGATAGATGATAGATAGATAGATAGATGATAGATAGATAGATAGATAGATAGATAGATAGATGATAGATAGATAGATAGATAGATAGATAGATGATAGATAGATAGATAGATAGATAGATAGATGATAGATAGATAGATGATAGATAGATAGATAGATAGATAGACGATAGATAGATGCACAATGAAAGAGGGGAGTCACACAGATCCAGTACCACATGCTGGCTCTGACCCCTGACTCCCTCCCATGTAGGAACACGGTTCTCGCCGTCACTGCTCTCAGGGCGACCTGTCACCACGACATGAGTGAGTACCTATGAGGCCGGTGGCGTAACCCTGCTGCTGCAGGATCCTCGCGAAGGTGGTTTCGTTCTCGGGGAGCCCCCCGGAGCCCCCGTTCCACTGTAGGGCCCGGTATCCGTCATTGGCTTCCATGCCTGGGGGGGGGGGTAGAGCAGAGAGGGGGTTGCGGTGTCTGTTGGGGGCAGTGGGGTATGCTGGGCTGGGGACTCATCTATTTATCCATCTATAATCTATCTATCTATCTATCTATCTATCTATCTATCTATCTATCTATCCATCTATCTATCTATCTATCTATCTATCTATCTATCAACATCTATGTGTCTATCCATTTATCATCTATCTATTCATTCATCTACTATATCTACCTATGTATGTACCTATCTACCCATCTATTATATGTCGATACATTCATCTATTATCTATCTATCTATCTATCTATCTATCTATCTATCTATCTACCATCTATGTATCTATCTACGTATCTATGTATGTACGTATCTAACCATTCATCTATCCATCCATCCATCCATCATCTGTCTATCCGTCCATCAACTATTTATCAATGAATCATGTATATGCCCATTCACCTATTGTCTATCTACTTATGTATGTATGTACGTATGTATGCATCTATCCATTCATCTATTTATCTTTCTATCCATCTATCACCTATCTATCCATCCATCAACTGTCTCTCCATACATCAACTATTTACAAATCTATCATCTATATGTCCATCCATCTATTATCTATCTACCTATGTATGTACGTATATATGTATCTATCCATTCATTTATCTATTCATCTATCATCTATCTATCCATTCATCTCGTGTATCTACCTATCTATGTATATATCTATCTATCCATCTATCACCTGTCTATCCATTCATCTATCTATACATCCATCATCTATCCATCTTTCATCATCTATGTGTCTATCATCTATTAATCCATCCACCATCCATTCATTCATCTTATCTACCTACCTACGTACCTACCTAAGTATGTATCAATCCATCTATCACATGTCTATCCATTTGTCTATCTATTTTCTATCTCTATCTATTATCTCTATCTATCTACCATCTATCATCTATCTATCTATCTATCTATCTATCTATCTATCTATCTATCTCTCTATCTATCTCTCTATCTATTTATCATCTATCTATCCATCCATCATCTATCCATCTTTCATCATTTATGTGTTTAACTATCATCTATATATTAATCCATCATCTATCTATTCATTCATCTTATCTACCTACCAACCTAAGTATGTATCTATCCATCTATCATGTCTATCTAGTTGTCTATCTTTTATATATCTATCTCTATCATCTATTATCTATCTATTATTTATATCTATCTATCTATCTATCTATCTATCTATCTATCTATCTATCCATTCATGTATTACATCTACCTACCTATGTATGTATCTACCCATTCATCTATCAATGCATCCATCATTTATCCATCTTTTATCATCTATGTGTCTATCTATCATCTATCTATTGATCCATCCATCATCTTTCTATTCATTCATCTTCTCTATCTACCTACCTAAGTATGTATCTATCCATCTATCATATGTCTATCCATTCTTCTGTCTATCTATCTATCTATCTATCTATCTATCTATCTATCTATCATCTATCTATCCATCTTTCATCATTTATGTGTTTAATTATCATCTATCTATTAATCCATCCATCATCTATCTATTCATTCATCTTATCTACCTACCAACCTAAGTATGTATCTATCCCTCTATCATGTCTATCCATTTGTCTATCTATCTATTATATATCTATTTCTATCTATCATCTATCTATTATCTATCTGTCATTTATATCTATCTATCTATCTATCTATCTATCTATCTATCTATCTATCTATCATCTATCTATCTTTATCATCTGTCTATCCATCCACCCATCATCTTTCTATCCATTCATCTTCTCTATCTACCTACCTAAGTATGTATCTATCCATCTATCATGTCTATCCATTTGTCTGTCTATCTATCTATCATCTATCTATTATCTATCTATTATCTATCT